TTTCAATGCATTCCTATGGGAAACCGCGTTTTGGTTTATGCATTTTTTGCAATACGAAACGTCCCAGAGAACACATTAGATTCGTAAACCTGGGTTTGGGTGTGTGTGTGTGCGCATGCGTGCGTGCGTGCGTGCAAACACATATACACATGCATGTTAAAACGGCAGGTTTCTGTGATCTAAAAAAATGAGACAAAGATAAGCACTTTTAGAGGATGAAAACAAGAAAAAAATATATCCTGAACCAATGGACTGCAGACACACTACAGGGGATGACCAGAGACTGCGGACACACTACAGGGGATGACCAGAGACTGCGGACACAGTACAGGGGATGACCAGAGACTGCGGACACAGTACAGGGGATGACCAGAGACTGCGGACACAGTACAGGGGATGACCAGAGACTGCGGACACAGTACAGGGGATGACCAGAGACTGCGGACACAGTACAGGGGATGACCAGAGACTGCGGACACAGTACAGGGGATGACCAGAGACTGCGGACACAGTACAGGGGATGACCAGAGACTGCGGACACAGTACAGGGGATGACCAGACACTGGGGACACAGTACAGGGGATGACCAGACACTGGGGACACAGTACAGGGGATGACCAGAGACTACGGACATACTACAGATGATCAGAGACTGCAGACAGAGTACAGGGGATGACCAGAGACTGCTGACTTTGGGGAGGGGGGAGCAGGTACCCGAATTTGACAGGTACCCGTTCCCACTTCCTCCCTCCCAGTCTTCTGGGACACGTGACAGGTCCCAGAAGACTGCTGGACCATTCACAAAGCGCAGTGCTTCTCGCACATGCGCATTGGGCACCCGGCCCTGAGGTCGCAAGCTGTCACAGCCGGGTGCCCACACTAAAGATGCCCGTGCCAGGAGAGCAGACCGTGAGGACACTGCTGGACCAAGGACCAGGTAAGGTTCTGCTGCAGAGAAGAGCCGAGCGCGGCCGGCCTGGTATTCTGACACAGCGGCAGCGGGAATACCAGGCCGGCCGCTCCATAAGACGCAAACATTTCCCCCATTTTTTTTGGGGGGGAAAAAAGTATGTCTTATGGAGCGAAAAATACAGTAACTCATTTCAGAACTTTTTCCACCTTTAATGTGACCTATAAACTGTACAACTCGATTGAAAAACAAACTGTAAACATAAAAAACTAAAATAATGTGGTTGCATAAGTGTGCACACCCTCTTATAACTGGGGATGTAGCTGTGTTCAGAATTAAGCAATCACATTCAAAATCATGTTAAATAGGAGTCAGTATACACCTGCCATCATTTAAAGTGCCTCTGATTAACTCCAAATAACGTTCAGCTGCTTTAGTAGGTCGTTACTGACATTTTCTTAGTCAGATCCTACAGCAAAAGCCATGGTCCACAGAGAGCTTCCAAAGCATCATAGGGATCTCATTGTTAAAAGGCATCAGTCAGGAGAAGGGTACAAAAGAATTTCCAAGGCATTAGATATATCATGGAACAGAGTCATCATCAAGTTGAGAAAATATGGTGCAACAGTGACATTACCAAGAACTGGACATCCCTCCAAAATTGGTGAAAAGGCAGCCAACAGGCCTACAGCAACATTAAAAGAGCTGCAGGAATATCTGGCAAGTACTGGCAGTGTGGTACATGTGGCAACAATCTCCTGTATTCTTCATATGTCTGGGCTATGGAGTGGCAAGATGGAATCCTTTTCTTATGAAGAAAAACATCCAAGCCTGACTAAATTTTGCAAAAACACATCTGAAGTCTCCCACAAGCATGTGGGAAAATGGTCTGATGAAACGAAGGTTTAACTTTTAGGCCATAATTCCTAAAGATATGTTTGGCACAAAAACAACACTGCACTTCACCAAAAGAACACCATACCCACAGTGAAGCATGGTGGTGGCAGCATCATGCTTTGGGGCTGTTTTTCTTCAGTGGGAACTGGGCTTTAGTTAAGTTAGAGGGAATTATGAACAATACTGGCACCAAACCTTCAGGCTTCTGCTGGAAAGCTAAACATGAAGGGGAACTAGACCTTTCAGCATGACAAACAACCCAAAGCATACATCCAAATCACACAAAGGAATGGCTTCACCAGAAGAAGATTGAAGTTTTGGAAAGGCCCAGCCAGAGTCCAGACCTGAATCCGATCGAAAATCTGTGGGGTGATCTGAAGAGGAGATGCCCTCACAATCTGACAGATTTGGAGTGTTTTTGCAAGGAAGAGTTCAACTGAGTTATACAGTTTATAGGTTACGTTAAAGGTGGAAAAAATTCAGAAATTTTTATCTTTGTCTCATTTTTTTACATCACAGAAACCTGACATTTTAACAGGGGTGTGTAGACTTTTTATATCGTGTGTGTGTGTCTTCGTGTGTGTGTAATCTGAGTGAAATAAACAGCACAGAATATATTTTATGTCGTTGAACTTGGAATTAACCACTTGAAAACCATTGCAAAGGCCCTGGAGAATAAAATGATGACAGTTTTTTATGACACGGTATTTGCACAGCAGGTTTTTCAAACGCAAATTTTTGGGAAAAATTACACTTACTCATCATCCTTTATGTGTGTTACAAAAAAGTTTGCACTATATTGTGTAAGTAGATACCAAACGTCACACTTTTACAAGTTACCAGTTTAGAAGTACGCAGGAGGTCTGGTACAAAAAATGACTGCTTTAGCTCTGATTTTCGCACCAATACCTCACACGTGTGATATGATTGCCGTTTAAGTATGCGTTTTTTCATCAAAGAGAATCTCTGAAGCTTAAAAAAATTATACCACAGCGGTATTAAAGATTTTAGACACTGATGTGGTCTGAACTCCCAAACTGCATACATTTTCTGGGTATGAGTTTTAAAACCAGAGTTCAGCAATGGCAACATTTGTATCTTTTTTAATTACATGATTCCTTTGCAGATGATTCGAAAGGTAACTTTGTGCATTAAGGCAGCCTAATTATTGTGAATGAGCTGCCAATGCACCACAATGGATCAAAAAATGCCAATGACCTTTTTTTTTTTTTTTTTATTTATATATATCTTTTAGCAATGAAGTGCACCAGAGCGCAAGGTATGTGAATGAATGGCACCACAAAAAGTAGGTTTGTTGTGGGAACTCAAGTATGATCACAATGCACAACTGTTAATGGGCTCTCAAACATCTGCAAAGCTAGTTGGACTTACCTAAAGTGAAGACACCACACCCAATATTTAATAACAGCAGCTTAAGGGCTAAAGAAAAAAATTTTTTTTTTTTTAATTTTCAAACAAGCATACAGATGCTAGAAGGCTCTCTTTCTACAAGCGTGCATATTTGTGCTTGTGGAGTAGGTAGGCAGCCTTTTTCAATCAGGTGCTGTGGCACCCTGGGGTGTTTTCTGGGTACTTAAGGGGTGCCTTGGCAAAATACTTACAACTGATCTAAATTGCCCAAAAATTGTATGCAAGCCAGCAGGTGGATCAAGCATGTCTTTTAGTTACAAAAAGCCACACGTTTTCAGTGCACAGTAACCAAAAGGACATCAGGTCAACAGTTGATGAGAGCAGGGCCCTCGAGGACATCATGGCTTTGTAATCTGCACAGCATCCTCATTTGCCCCTCTCCTTCAGCACTTGGGTCACGTTAACTGCGTGAGCAAAAGAGGCAAAATGCTGGATACTAGCAAGTACCAGTGTGCAAAGGTGTACATGCTTTGTAAAATAAATAACCTCTTATGTTGGGTATCCCCTATGTGTGTGGATGCTGCTGTAAAATGTAAAACTATTAGTTTAGTTTTTTACATTTTAGAATGGGGTTCCTCAAGACTGTGCAGAATTTTAAAGGGTGCCTTTACTGAAAAAGGTTGAAAAACACTGGGATACAGCACTCAAGTGTTGGGTTCGTCCAAACAGAAAACCACCAACTGGCTGGATAAATCATAAAGGACCATATTTTTTTTTTATAGGTAAAGCTGGCTCAAATTATGCCAACTCCTACTGAACTGGACATACATTTAAGCTGTGTTTGGCCCTGTAGGCACCACCCATCTCAGCAAAACTTGAATGACAAATGAAGGTGCAAAATCGTCAAGTCGAACATAGCTGCATCCAATCAGATGCAGTAAATGTTTGCATATTTACGCAACTGCAAGTGCTCCAGCAATAGATGGTAGTACAAATCCCTCACCCCCCCCCCCCCCTTTTTTTTTTTTTTTTTTTTTTAAAGTGGAAGGGGGAATGTGATTCTGCATGGCTAGTTTAAAGGTGCTTCTAAAGGTTTTTGTTTTTTTTTTTTTTTAATAAAAAAATGGTTTTGCAGAGCAGCCCTGATCCTCTTTAGGGGTTCCCCTGCTGAAGCTCCTGGCTCCTCCCCTCCTGAGTGCTCCAATAGCAAGCCACTTGCTATGGGGGCACTCTTGTGGGCTTACTTCCAAGCCGTGTGCTGTGTGTCCTTTGACACACACGGCGCAGCTCAGCACTGCCCTTTTCTCACTAGTTGTGAATGACAGCAGCAGAAGCCAATGGCTCCCGCTGCTGCCTTGCCCTCCAGTGAGGAGATCGAGAGCGGAAAGAGCTGCTGCTCTTGGGCACAGTGCTGGACTGAGGTTGGGCTCAGATAAGTATAAAAAGGGGGGGGGGGGGGGGTCGATTCTGAGGTGGGAGATGCACACAGAAGGCATTTTACCTTAATGCAGAGAATGAATTAAGGTAAAAAAACTTGTCCCTTTAAAACCACTTTAACCACCTTCCGCCCACCCTATAGTACAATGACGGGTGCAAGGTGGTTCTCTCGTTCTGATAGGACGTCAAATGACGTCCTACCATTCTCACTGCGCATACGTGGCTCAAGAGCCGAAGATGTCGGCTCAGTCATGTGATCAGCTGGGTTCAATCACAGCTGATCACATGTAAACACGGAAATGCTGGTTATCTGCATTTCTCTCCTCTCGAGCTGTCACGCTGACAGCTCGAGAGGAAAGAAGAGACGGTAATCCGCTTTCTGCGGAGGGGACATGTACACTGATCATCCCCAGAAGTGCCACCTGTCAGTGCTCCAGTCAGTGCCCAGTGCCCCAGTGCCACGTGCCCATCAGTGCCACATCAATGCCACATATTAGTGCATACCAGTGCACATCAATGCCACATATTAGTGCCACCTATCAATGCCAATCAGTGCCACATATCAGTGCTACCAATCAGTGCTGCCTAACAGTGCCAGTCAGTGCTGCCCACCAGTGTCATGTATCCATGTCATGTATCCGTGTCATGTATCAGTGCTGCCTGTCAATGCCCATCAGTGCAACCTACCAGTGCCTCCTCATCAGTGCCACCTATCAGTGTCCATCAGTGCAGCCTATCAGTGCCCATCACTGCAGCCTCATTAGCGCACACCAGGGAAGGAGAAAAATCACTTATTTACAAAATAGTATAAAAAAAAACTAAGAAAAACATTTTTTCTTCAAAATTTTCAGTGGTTTTTGGTTTAAGAAAAAATAAAAATCCCAGAGGTGATTAAATACCACCAAAAGAAAAGCTCTATTTGTCTCAAAAAAAATGATAAAAATGATAAAAACTGTAAAAATTACAGTGTTGCATGACCCGCGCAATTGTCATTCAAAGTGTGATAGCACTGAAAGCTGGAAATTGGCCTGGGCAGGAAGGGGGTATAAGTGCCCTGTAGGCTAGAGGTTAAGGGTTACCATACACATTACATTCTGACTGGACAATCTGTCCAATGTTCTTTATATTTTCCTCAACTATATAAAATAGAACAAGCCTGAACAATCTAATTTGTATCCAGTTGTGCAGGCCTATGCAATACATAGTTGTTGGTAGTTCTAAAACAGAATGTACAATCAGGCTCTATAGTAAGCTAAGCTCAGCCAAAAGGAGGGGAGCTTTAAAACACATTTCAAATGATTAGTGCAGAATGGCTTCAGACACCTAGTCCGGTAGGAAAACAAATTGCCTGAGTTTAGATGAGAACAACATTAAAGGGAATGTGTGTGTTGATGTGGATTATTTAATATTTTTCAATGAGAACATGATAGATGTTAAGAAGCTTAAGAATATAGGAGTAATAACTTTTTTTGGACCATAAGGATGGGTTGTACTGAGTCAATATACAGTATGTGCTAATCTTATCTTAGGTATTTTACCAAAAGAGTAGTTGATGCGTGGAATACACCTCCAGCAGAGGCAATGAGTCAGTCAATAGTAATTGGATTCAAACATTCTTGGGACAAACATAGATCTATACTCAGACAAAAAAAGGTAAAAACAAAATAAAAACAAATATATAAAATTTAAACAAAATGGGGCAGACTTCATGGACCACTTTTTACTGCTGTCACTCTTCTATGTTCTTTGTACTGCTGTCACGCTTCTATGTTCTTTGTACTGCTGTCACGCTTCTATGTTCTTTGTACTGCTGTCACGCTTCTATGTTTCTATGTTCTTTGTACTGCTGTCACGCTTCTATGTTTTTTTGCCATGCAGTCTCAGCTAAGTATTTGGAAACAAATGTGCATGCATGCAAACCTACAAATTCATCTCTCCTTTGTTATTTTTAACAACTAAAAATATGCTTTAGAGGTGCTGCAGAAAGGCCACAGAGGTCATGGACATTTACCACTTGAGGAGTATGTCAATGCCTTCTGCCATGTTAAGAGGGAGAAATGTTCCTTCCTCTGCCTACTCCCTCCTTGTGTTAATGCTCACAGTACATGAACTAACAAACATTCCCTGAATCTTGGTAGCTGTCTGCCTTTTCAGACATCTTTCTCTGTTCCAATCTGACAATTACTATCCACACATCTCTGAATTAGTCAGATAGAGCACATTGCCTCTATATAGCATCTGTGTGGCACTGCAAATGAAAAAAGAAAAAAAAACCCTCAATGACTGGATAGCTAATCACAAGTTTTAGGGAAGGCTGCAAATAAATAGGAATAGTGTGTTAACAGAATCACTTTAATACACACCATGAACTTAAAGCAGTTGCTACAGATTACTTCCTGTACCAGAAAAATTACATTGCTTCCTTCTGATGTAGACACCTCCTTCATCAGCTGACAAAAGTAGTAATAGAAAAGGTTTCTGTAAGATGGCAAGTTTTTGATACAGCCATAAAGAAGAATGTTTTGTAGATATGCACACAATCTGTCGTGCTATTTTACAGAGACAGCAAGAACAAAAATGTGCGTTATATTTTAAGCTTTAAGATCCTTTTCCTTGACACATCATGACCCTTGCTCTAGTCTTTGTACCTTTACAATGTATACTTTTTCCTATCATGATACTATAGACTGGGGGAGATCAAGGCTTCCTTCACACAGGCAATTAGGGTCATAAACAACAGCAAGAGTCAGCAGATTCCTGCGACTGGGCCTGTACAAGGTAATGACTCGCATACTTTAAAGTAAACACTTGGCCTACATAGCTGCTGCTAAACCTAAAGCAGATTGTGACATTGTACAGTCACAGGTCCTCTACGCCTGTGAGTGGATGAAACGCATTACAGGGGCGTGGTCTTGGGAGATGAAGCCAATATGTCATATCACCTTACTAGGTCTGCGCTTCCTGTTTTTTTTTTTTTTTGTTTGTTTTCATATTATATAATATATTTTGTATCCCAGCTGTAAAAAAACAAACACACTCACCGGCCACTTTATCCCACACAATTACACCACTACCAGCCTGAGCCATTGATACAAGGCAGCATGGATCCATACTTTCATGTTGTTTACACCAAATTCTGACCCTACCATCTTAACCGCCTCCCGCCTGCCATATAAGGCAATGACAGGCGCAAGGTGGTTCTCTCGTTCTGGAAGGATGTCGCGCGTGCGCGGCTCCGAGAGAATGCAGTGCGGCGATCGGTGGTGCGCTGTGGTCCCCGGACACAGCAGATCACCAATCAACGGAAAGAGCCAAAGATGTTGGCTCGGTCACGTGATCAGCTGTGTTCAATCACAGCTGATCACATGTAAACAGGGAAATTACGGTTATCGGCATTTCTCTCCACTCGAGCTGTCACACTGACAGCTCGACAGGAGAGGAGAGCCGGTAATCGGCATTGCTCAGAGGGGACATGTACACTGATCATCAGGGTACTGATGATCAGTGTGCCCTGATGATCAGTGTAGCCCCAGCAGTGCCACCTGTCAGTGTCCATCAATGCCAGCTGTCAGTGCTCATCAGTGCCACCTGCCAGTGCCCATCAGTGCAACATCAATGCCACATATCATGCCACATATCAGTGCCCATCTGAGCTGCTTTTCAGTGTCACCTATCAGTGCCACCTATCAATGCTGCCAATCAGTGCCACTTATCAGTGCGCATCAGTGTCGCCTATCAGTGCGCATCAGTGCCCGTCAATGCTGCCTATCAGTGCCCGTCAGTGCCAGTCAATGCTGCCTATCAGTGCCCGTCAGTGCCGCCTAACAGTTCCAGTCAGTCCCACCTAACAGTGCCATATACAAGTGCTGCCTTTCAGTGCCCATCAGTGATACCTGTCAATGCCCATCAATACCACCTATAAGTGCAGCCTATCAGTGCACATCACTACAGCCTCATTAGCACATATCAGTGAAGGAGAAAGTGATTTACAACATTTTAAAACAAAAACTAAGAAAAAACTTTTTTTTTTTGTTTTGGGTTTGTTTAGCAAAAAATAAAAAACCCAGAGGTGATTAAATACCACCAAAAGAAAGCTCTGTCTCAAACAAATGATAAAAATTTCATATGGGTACAGTGTTGCATGACTGCACAATTATCATTCAAAGTGTGACAGCGCTGAAACCTGAAAATTGGCCTGGGCAGGAAGGGGGTATAAGTGACCTGTAGGCTAGTGGTTAATGATGCAGCAACCAGTCTGCACATTCTCCTCTGACCTCCGACATCAACCAGGCATTTTTGTCCATACAACTGCCACTCACTGGTTATTTTCTCTTTTTCAGACCATTCTCTGTAAACCCTAGAGTTGGTTGTAAAAATCCCAGTAGATCAGCAGTTTTTTTTTTTTTTTTTTTTAAATACTCAGACCAGCCAATCTGGCACAAACAACTATGCCCCATTCAAAGTCACTTAAAGTCCTTTTCTTCCCCATTCTGATGCTCAGTTTGAACTTCAGCAAGTCGTGTTACCAAGCAATTGAACAGGTGTACCTAATAAAGTGGCCCGTGAGTATAGAGATAGATCTATTTTCTTCAGGCTATCATATCATGCCCTGAACTGAAATACATTGCTTTTAGTTTATTTGGTTTAAAAGTTTAAAGTGTAACTCAAATTTCTTTAAAAAAAAAAAATCAAATCTCCTCTGGTTGATCAATGCACATTGAAAGGCTTTGAATTGGAGTGACTTTTTCATTTTTGACCAGCTGATACACTTGCGGCACTCTAATGAAGAAAGCTACAAGGTCTGCATCCCTTTAAAAAGGATTAAGCTTTTAAGTGTATCTCACCAAAAATAATATTGTTTTGTGGTAAAGTATGCCTAAAATTTGACTTGTATCCTGGTGCCTGTACCCAGAATTGTCATTTCCTGCTTGTGTGATTGATTTGCTGATTTTCCCAGAATGTACGGTGTACAAATCGTTTCCAGGTTGCCATACTCATTGAATTTTAGAGAAAATGACAGCATCGCAGATTGAAAAGGAAGAAAGGTAATTTTTATTAGGCATAATGAACAATATGGCTTGCGTCACAATTGATATGATATTGATATTATATGAGAATTTGTTTTAATTTGCCATACATTTTTTTCCCCAAGGAAGTGGAGTTTCCCTTTAATTTTACTCCTCAAATGTATTACAGTTCCTAAAGCAAGGCACTACCCCAGAAAAAAACAATACATTGTAGCTTTAACCAAAAGATAAACAAAAAAGTTATTATCTTTGATTCTTCAGCACTGGGCCTTTAATATTGGGGGGGGGGGGGGAATCATAACCTAACTCCTCTTTTCCAGGGCACAAGGCTGTCCTGGGAGACTATCTATTCTTGCCTCTTGATTATTATTTCTTTGTTATGTAGATTGAGGCAGCACAAGTGGGATTCCAGCTGTGACTCCTCAGTGGTGATTTATGCACAGAACCTAATGAGGGAAGATCTTACCCTCTGGAATCAAACTGCAGGTATACAGGGCATTCTCCTCACTGTATGGACCCCTGGCTGAAGCAGCAGTTTTGAGGCGCAACCTCCATTCAAAAATAATGCTACATAATTATTTACATAAAAAGCAGAAATGCATAACAATCCACTGCTTCCTTTTTATCCTCAATGATGGCAGCTGCTCCCCTCTCCCCCCAGTCCAGCCCAAAATTTTTGTAACCAGATTATTGCCAAGGAACTAGCCACAACAGTCTGGCCCGATGTGCACAGTGGATTCCTCCTGCAAAAAGGTGACTATATAGTAGAGACAATGCTAATCTC